TTTGGGGACTTAGAGGCAACAGGTCCAGAGGTGGCAAGTGTCCAACCTGTTTATCTGACCTATTTCCAGGAAATTCTCAATTGTTAGGCACAGCACTGCAGCTGGATTCCCTGACATTTAAGTGGGCTGCGAGCAGCAAACAGGCCCACCCAAGGCCAGCCTACATGTTCTCTCCCCTCCCTGGTGCAGTGCAGAAAGGATCACAAACATCCGAGCAAGGGAGCAGTATAAAAACCATCCCAGGGATAAGTTTCCCACCTCTGTGGTGGGGTGTGGATTGCTCCTCTATTACTCCATCTGACTGTTGATTAAAAGTGCTAACTGAAACTGATTTAACACCATGCAATTACATTTAAGCTTAATTAAATGATGCTAAATTCATTTAAAATAGCCAACTTCATAGGCAGCAGATTAGTTTTATGGGCCCATATTGCCAAATTCCAGAAACAAACTGGTGTCCAAGCAATTGCATGCTGTTGCATCTCCAAGGTAACTCTGGCAGTCACGGAACACATTTTTGTGCTTTAATTAAAAATAGAAACTACCAAGCAGAAGGCACAGTGCTTATGGATAGATAGCCTTTCCAGCAGGAGGTCCATCCTATGTGCCTGAGGAATAAACCAAAATTCATTTCCGAGAGGGGGCTCCCTGTAGCAACCATGTAACGAAGCATTTCTCGAGCATACACTACGTGCCCAGCACGGGTCTAGACACTGACGGGGGACATCAGGCATGTGGGGACAGTCCCAGCTCAAGGGACTTAGAGTCCAGTTGAAGAAGCAAGGCTGGCAGTTGTATAGGGGAAAGAACATCAGCTGGGTCCTGTCTTGACTTTGCCATTAAGTTTCATTATGGCCTTTGAGAAAGAAATTTCTCTTTCTGGGCCTGAGTTTCTCCTCCCCTATAAAGTAAGAGGATTGAAAGAGATGCTTAAGGTCCATTCTGCTCAAGCAACAACAATGATGATATTAGTTAAGGACTCAATCACTATTTGCTCTGTGCTAAGGCTGTTCCATGCAATACACACAGTCCCTGACTTAAGATGGGCCTCTGTCGTAAATCAGTTCTGACATTAAGTTGAATACCTCTTTTTTTTTATTATTGCCTTTTATTATCAATATCTTTACAAATCATAACATTTGAAAATGATAACATCAGCAAATTATGTACTGCAACATTGCATGTAGTACATATTACTAACGATAAGGTGTACCAAAAATGAAAACAGACAGTCGTAAGTGCGGTTCATTGTAACTCAAATATGTTCTAAGTCAGAGACTACCTGCATTTCATTTAATCTTCATGTCAGTACTCTGAGGTAGGTAATATCATCTACACTCAGCAGGTGAGAAAATGGGCTTAGAGAAAAAGATTCAGTAACTTGCCCAAAGTCACAAATCCAGTAAGGGACAGAACCAAGATTGCGGACCAGGCAGTCTTGACTCATAGTTCTCGCTCTCAATTAGACAACCTTTAACTGGAGAACAATGTACAACTAGCCTAGACCACATACCTGTGCTCAAAATTTTCTGTGGCTTCCTGCTGTTTTTAAGAGAAAAGGCACACTTCATCATGTGGTATCCAAACCCATACCTGTCAGACATCTCCTCTCCCTTCACCACCACCTACGTACCTTCACCCCTCAGCCCCAAGCATGCTCTGATACTCCCACTTTTATTCAGTCTTTACACAAGTATCCAGTGGGCACCAATGTGGGTCAGGTACCCCATGGGGGACCATGGGTAGAACAGTGAGCACAGCAGGCATGATCCTAGAGTTTAGTGGAGGAAACAGGCAATTTATATAGCACTTTACAGCTTGCCGTACCTTCACGTGGATGCCTCACTTAATACTCTGCCTTGTACTGTTAACATCTTGACAAGGGTTTGCATTTGTCTTGTCTACCCAGTTAGATTGTAAGCTCCTTTGGGGTAGCCACCAAGTACGGTGCCCAATCCTCCTTCATATCCTTGCAGCATGAAGCTCATCCAGAGCTCGGAAAGCATTCAATGGACTGATGACATTTTGCAGAATTCCATGTACCTCTGAGTACTTGGAAAATCAACCCATCAGAAATAATTTATTGAATAGCCACTAAATTCCCTGCCTTTGTGATAGAAATTTGATGGCAGCTGATTTGAAAAGAATTTGTTCTTTTCAAAAATTATCAACAAGTGAACAGAAACCATTACTGTTAAGAATAAATAACCTATGAGTGTCTTCTGAATGTGAAGACACATTTAAGTTGTAGAAAACGGTAAGAACACAGTAAATTGTGTACATTTTATCTCCGGAGCTGGTGTGCAACTTACTGATATACTACAGGAATCACCATCGCGTTCAGACTTAATCTCCACATTTCCAAGGTGCAGGATAGAAGCAATTATCTTAAAAATGCTTATCTGATGGGATTCTCTCACTCCTGAAAAAAGAAGAATGAATGACATTCAATACCCTCGGTAGGATAGAAAGGGCATTTTACCCTTTTTAAGGACTTCTTAAAAAATAAGGTTTGATTTTCCTTTCTGGGCCAGTGATTCCTAAAGTGATCCAGGCTCCTTACCAAGTAATTACCACTCACAGCAACAGCTCAGAGGGCAAAGGTGCTCCCTGGACTAAAAGGGAAACATTCTCACTTTGATCAAACCAGATGGGTCATGCTACCATTTTAACTTCTCGAAGAGCAAAGGAGAGGCAGCAATCATGCAGACTCATTTTGAACTTCATTTCAACCGAACACTTTATGGATGTTTTTATGGGTTTAATAAGAATGGTCATTTATCTGCAGTTGTTTTCCTCCCAACATAATATCCTGCAAACATCTGTGACACACATTCAAAGTG